CCAGGTCGAGGCTGCGGTGGCCGGGAGCGGCCACTGTACTCCAGTCTGGGCGACCAAGTGAGACTCCAACAGTGGTCAAGGTGAAGGACAATGGGGGTAGCAATGGAGATGGAGGCCTCTGAGATATATGATGGGAGACCCCCCGCCCCACCACAAACCCAAATTATTTTTTGGAGGACAGGCTCCATGTAGTACAGGCTTCCCACTAGGTAAGTATTCTATGAACCCATGGGCATCAGTGTACCAGCTAGCATTGTTGAGAGAGGCTGCGTATGGCTTCAGGGAATTGTTTTTGGAGAGTCTTTCAACATGTTTGCCCATTTCATGATGGGTGATTTACAAGTGCTCTTGCCTATGCTGTGCTGAGTGTTCAGCAGTTTTTGCCCTACCTTTCTTTTTTTTTTTTGAGTTGGAGTCTCACTCTGTCGCCCAGACTGGAGTGCAGTGGCCGCTCCCAGCCACCGCAGCCTCGCCTGCTGGGCTCCAGCGATCCTTCCGCCTCAGCCTTCCGAGTAGCTGGAATTACAGGCATGCGCTACCACGCCCGGCTGATTTTTTGATTTATTGTAGAGATGAGGTCTCACTGCCCAGGCGGGTCTCGAACCCGCGGGCTCAGGCAATTCGCTCACCTCAACCTCCCAAAGGCACGGGATTACAGGCTGAGCCACCGAGCCCAGCTGCCCTACCTTTCTTATTCACTTTATCTTGCCCTGAGAAACTTTGTGTTTATTTTACTGATGAAAAAAGCTCTCAAAGAGAAACATTATGCCAATATAGAAGAGGTGAAAAAAAAAAAAGGCAGAAGCATTAAAAGGCATCAAAATCGACAAGTTCATAAACTGTTTTGAGCAGTGGAAAAGCATCTAGATAGGTGTATTGCATCAATACCTTGATGAAGTATTTGACTGAAGTTTAAACATGTAACATTCTTAAACTTGTAAGAATAAATACGATTTAAAAATAAATTCCAGGTTTATTTGAGCCCCTCCAGTTATTTTTGAAGGCAAAATGATATGGATATGGAATAGTGAGGGGAGAGAGAGGGAGAGAGGGAGAAGTCAGGGATAACTAAAGTTTTAGGCTTTAGCTATTGATTGAGATAAAGAAGACTTGGGGAGAACAGGTTTGGGAGGGTGGATAGTGGGAGGGAAGAATGAAAGCACCTCTTTGCTTATTAGATATTTATTGAGTGCCTTATGTGTGTCAGGCACACTTTTAAAAACAGGGGACATGGCAAAACAGACAGAACAGACAGAAATCTGCTTTCATAGAACTCGCATTCTCTTCAGGTGGAAAAACAGTGAAATAAGTTCAGCGTGGGTAATATAGCAAGACCCCGATCTCTTTTAAAAATTTGAGCAAATTAGTTAGACGTGGTGGCATGTACCTATAGTCTTAACTATTTGAGAAGCTGAGGTGGGAGGTTTGCTTGAGCCCAGGAGTTCAAGGCTGCAGTGAACTATGATTGCACCACTGCACTCCAGCCTGGGTGACAGAGCCAGACCCCATCTGCAAGAAGAAAGGAAGGAAGCAGGGAGGGAAGGAAGGAAGGAAATTAAATATATAGTATGTAGGCAATACTTGCTCCCAAGAAAAAAAATCAGGCAGGAAAGGAGACAGGAATGTTGGGAGAATTTATGTAAGGGAAGACCTTACTGAGTCACTGATCTGAGTAAGGACCTGAAGGAATGTAGGAGAACAAACTATGTGGATATGTAAGGAAGAGCATTTCAGGCAAAAGAAACAGCAAATGCAATAGCCAAGGAGCAGGGGCAGGCCTGGTTTGCTCAAGGAGCAGAGCGAACAAAATGGAGAAATAAGACATTAGATCAGAACGGTCTGGGTGGAGGAAGGAGAGCAGGTTCCAGTAGGCCTTGAAGAGCTATTGTGGTGGCTTTAACTTGTATCTTGAGGGTGCAGGAAGCCATCGGGAAGGTTTTCAGCAGAGAAGTGACCTAGTCTAACTTGTATTTTGAGACTATCGTCTGGCTGACATTTTTAGAATAGACTAAGAAGGGACAAGAGCAGAATTGGGGGCTCCCTGGGAGGCTTCAGTGATCATCCAGGCAGGAGATCGGGTGGTGTCAGTAGGAGCAGAAGGAGAGATGGCAGTGGGTGAGTTGACCCTAATGACCCTTTTTTAAAAAAACCATTTATTACTTTCCCAAATAGAAAAAAAAAAATGTTAGGAATCATGCCAGGTTTTTACTGGAGAACACTGTAGTATAATCAATGGAATTACAATTCTGTTCCTAAATTAAGACCAGCTCAAAGAACATCAATGTAAAGATTCTTAATCTTGACCTATGGGACTTCCCAGCCAATTTAGTGTGAAATATGCAACTTCTTTGTGGATAATGGTGAACTAATGAACTTTTTCTTTTCAGTTGTATGATGGGGATAGTGCCAATGCCAACTTGGCTGCAACATTCTGTGGTTCCACCATACCTGTTCCTTTTATCTCTTCTGGTAACTTCCTCACGGTTCAATTTGTCAGTGACTTAACTTTAGAAAGGGAAGGATTTAACGCTACATATACCATCGTGGACAGTGAGTAAATTGAAGCATTTGAATATATTACAAAATAGATGTGTGTTGATGCACTAAAATGAATACTAGGCTTATTATATCTAAACTTAATGTTAATTACTCAACTCAATGTTAATAACTATCTGAGCGCAATGTCAATTACTAAACACCATGTTGATTAATCTGTATTTAATCTGTGGTACAAATTTGACACAATCTTTAGTCAAGGACCTATACCTCCAATTCTTAATAACATGATAGAAATATAGCTAGCTCCTTTGGGTTGGGAAGGGAGGGAAGACAGCATTTTAAAGATTATGTGAGATGAAACGTGAGTAAAATGTCTTGTACTTTTTTTTCCCCTTCTCTCCTCAGTGCCTTGTGGTGGAACTTATAATGCAACTTGGACCCCACAAAATATTTCATTGTCCGGTTCATCAAACCCATTTTCTATCTGTACTTGGGTCATTGAAGCTCCCCCACATCAGCAGGTCAAGATCACTGTGTGGGCATTACAGCTGAGCTCTCAAGATTGTGCTCAGGATTACTTAGAGTTTCAGGACTCACCACAGGTAACAATTAGAGAACGCATGGCAGTTGTATTTTCACCAGAATTTTCAAAACACTTGAAGTGATGATTAAATAAATTATTAAATCATGATTAAATAAATTCTCAGTTACTTCCAGCTTAATGTGTTTTTCAGGTGTACACATAGCCCTCCATTCGGGCATGTTGAGAAACATGAACTAGGTCAGGAGCTCTCAAACTTTCATGTGCCTGAGAGTCATCTGGATGTCTCATTAAAAGTGCATACTCCTGGGCTTATCCTTAGAGTCTGATTTCCCCACATAGCACTCATTGCCTGAATTTTTGAGGAATATCTCTGCTGTTCCAGCGCCAACACTAGAACTCCATGGACCATGCTTTTGTAGTTATTGAGATCTGTATATAGGCTGAACTGAAAGGGTCAACACGGAACACAAGCGACTCAGTTAAGAGGCCATTTGGCCTCAGTCCAGCAGGCCTATTATATTCATGGTATGATAAGAGAGGAGAAAGAGAAAAACTATCTTGATTGAATTTTTAAAACGCTGAGACTGAATTTCCTATGAGATAAGATGTTGAGGAAAAAATTGGGCATAAAAGTGTGATGTGGACAGAAGGCTCAAAAATGTGGGCATTGCCACGATGCAGACAGAGAGTTGAGATTGTGACATTATCCAGGGAAAATCTGTAAAGGGGGAGGTCATGAACTGAGGAGGGATACTTGGGAGAACATCCAGGTGGTCTCTCTGCAGCTGGGAGCTACACCCCAGTTCATTCCAAGAATGTCATGTTCAAAGTCTTATGTCCTGGCAATAATAAGGAGTCCTGTCTACCATCCTTGGCATTTTCAGTGTCCTCCTTTTATAAATATGGGGTATCCTGGTTCTCTAGTGGTCTTGCTGGGGACAGAAGAGTCCAGTTCATCTGACTCCAATGTGGAGAGGTCTGAGAAATGCTGGGTGCTGAGTAGACACTGACCTTGTGAGTTTTGTGAAAAACATGGACACTGAGATAAATCCTTAGCTTCCAAGGTGGTCAAGATACTAGGTTGTCATCATTCCACTGGTAGTGGCTTTGAGGAAAAAAATTCTATTCCCCAAGGATACCCTCACTGGAAGGACTTAGAGTCAAGTGGAACAAGACCCTTTGGGTTAAAACTGTTTCAAATGACCATTCTTTCTTGAAGCTGAGGTGGTTGGTGTCAGGGTGGACCACCCAGCTAGGCACAAAAAATGCTACTTACAGGACACCAGGCAACTCTGGAACATAACAGCAGGTGAGCTGGCCTCAAATAAGACCCAGCACTTGTCATGCCTGAAGGATGTTCTCAATTGAATGAGTAAAGGAAAGAATAAAGAGTTTCAGTCCAGGTAGGTAGGAAGAAAACACAGCAAATTGACTAACGAGCTGGGAGAAGCTGGAATTCTCAAGGCGGCCAAGATCAAAAAGAAAAGCCTAGTTGGAAGACCTGGAAAGGATTAGGTGGTGGGACCGTTACAGAGGGGTGAGGCAGAGAGCTGACATTGAAGTAGGCACCCACAGAGGGGAGAGATGAAAGTCACAGGTTACAAAGAGTACAAAGTTGGGATGTTTCATGACTTGTCTGTAAAATTGCTGAAACCTCATTCAAGACGGACCCTGAACACGAATACTATAAGAAAGGGATTGGCAGTAACGGAACACTGCTGGGGGAAGGGGGTGGCGGTGAGTCACATAACATCAATTAGAGTACATGATCTCAAACCAGGCGAAGTGGGAACCACAGGGAGGCCCAAACTTTCCCTGTATGATGATCATTTATCTACCTAATCCTGAATTGTACCCTGCAGTAAAATAAAATCACTGCAGCCTCCAAGGATTCAGTAAGGAAACGAGGTTCAGAAAATTACTAAGAGCTATAAGACACCACAAGTGTTTATAAACGAAGGGAACTAACCAAGAAGAACATAAGTAAGGATGAAGAGAAGGAACAAAGGGTATCTTTGGCCAGATGAAGAGACCCTCAAAGGAGAACTAGCTTTGAGGTGAGGATGAAGGCTGCAGCAAGGAACGTGGAGAAAGCTTCCCATGCCCCAGCCTCCCCCACCAATGAACGATGAAGCCTGTGAAAAGAATGACCTCCACCAGGAGACTACTGGAGACCCAGGTTTTGCTAAGACCATTACAAAGTGGAAAGACTCGGGATATATGCAGGGGGTGGTTAGCAATGCAACTAAAGTTCATTGGCTGCAACAGACGAAGCTAGGAAAGGACCAATGGCAGGAGGCAGGGGGGAGGAGGGACTGGAAAGACCAGTTCAGGAGTGCTTGCAAGAAGCAACGGGGCGCGGCCTTTCAGTAGGTGTCCAAGAGCTGCAGGTGTTAGAGGCATACCTGTGACTGAGAAGGAGCAGATATCTGGACTGTAGTTCAAGTTGCTTTCGTTTGTTTTAGCGTTTTGTGGATTTTTTGTGTTTTTTTTTGAGTTGGAGTCTCTGTCGCCCAGACTGGAGTGCAGTGGCCGCTCCTGGTCACTGCAGCCTCGACCTGCTGGGCTCCGGTGATCCTTCCACCTCAGCCTTCCGAGTAGCCAGAATTACAGGCGTGCGCTACCACACCAGGCTAATTTTTTAAAATTTATTGTAGAGATGAGGTCTCGCTGCCCAGGCGGGTCTCGAACCCGCGGGCTCTGGCAATCCACTCACCTCAGCCTCCCAAAGGCGTGGGATTACAGGCTGAGCCACCGAGCCCGGCCGTTTTGTGTTTTTTTGAGTTGGGGTCTCCACTCTGTCACCCAGGCTGGAGTGCAGTGACATAACCACAGCTCACTGCAACCTTGATCTCTTGGGCTCAGGTGATCCTTCCACCTCAGGCTACCCAGTGGCTGGGCCTATAGGCATGTGCCACCACGCCTGGCTAATTTTTTATTTTTTGTAGAGATGAGGTCTTGCTATGTTTCCTAGGCTAGTCTCGAACGCCTGTCCTCAAGCAATCTTCCTGCCTCACCTCCCAAGGTGCTGGGATTACAGGCGTGAGTCACCACACTCGGCTTACAAGTTGTTTTTATACAAGAACTGATACAGGTTTGACTGAATTTACCCCATGCATTTGAGAGATGATGGGAGCCGCCTAAGCGGTACAAAGAACAGGGACCTCATTACAGGTACCAGCTGTCTTGGAGGATGCACAGTCACTCTGGTTAGATTAGCCAAGGGGCAGCACGGGCTAGATCAGGGTGGTGGTGTTGGGTTAGGCTTATGGAATTCAGGATGATGGAAAAAGTCCCAGCAGGAGAATTGCAGTGAGCACGAACAGCCTTGTGCTCAGCTCAACAACACAGCCCTCTGTCGTGAGGCCGTATGAGAGCAGAGGGGTCCTGTTTTCAGCAGGGAAGTGATTGTGGTTTCAGCAGAAATTTTGCCTCCCCTCATCCCGCCCCTCTGGAAAAGTGGGACGTGTGTCAATTCCAAGGTCAAGGTGAGTCTTGAGGGAGGGCGCTTCAAGCACTAGACCTAGTTTCCCTGGCTGAATATTTAAGCCAGACTTTTATATGCAGTTTAATTCGTTTCTGCTGTTGCCTGTTCTCTTCTGAAACTACATCTAACGTGACTTGGTTTCCATTTCATTTCAGAGTCATGGAAATCCTGGAATTCAGTTCTGTGGCCGAAACACGTCAGCTGTGCCAGCGTTTTATTCTTCGATGAGTACTGCAATGGTTATATTCAAATCTGGAGTTTTAAGCAGAAACTCTAGAATAAATTTTACCTATCAGATTGCAGGTGAGTCCTGAAACTTCACCTTTGATTCAAACAAACTGCTATCATTACAATTATTGATGGAGTCGACCCCTGTTAGTCAATTAGGGTTTGTTCAAGAAAATCACACCCAGCTGAGGTAAAGCTCTTAACTACCCAGGCCCAGTTTAGCAAATTGCTGAAGCTGGTTTCTGAAGAGGTAAAGATAATCTAATACTAAGTAAAATGCTTAGAATACTAGCAAGTATGAGGGGAGACCCCCTCAAAAAAATGGAATTTATTTATAAAAAATTATGTATTTATTCTTACATGTTTAAACTTCAGTTACCTTCAGAGTACTCTCTGTCCGATGAAATACACCTACGGAGAGGCTTTTTCCGTTGCTGAAGCCAGTTTTTGAACCCTCCATTCTGATGCCTTTTGGTGCTTTTGCTTTTTTATCCACCTCTTCCATGTTGGCAAAACATTTCCCTTTGAGGACTTTTTTCTCAGGGGAAAAAAAAAGTCGCTCGGGGTGAGAGGGCAGGTACACTTGTAAATCATCCATCAGAAAATGAGCAAGCACACTGAAAGAATCTCAAAAAAAAAAAAAAAAAAAAACAACTCACTGAACCTGACTGAAGCCTCTCACGACAACGCTAACTGGTACACTGATGCCCATGGGTCCCTAGAACATTTACCTATCAAGGGAAGCCTGTATTACAAGGAGTTCACCCTCCAAAAAATAATTCTGGTCTTCTGGGTTCCCCCTCATACTTCAAAATCTGTGTAGTTAAATTAAAAATATACCAGTTATTTTATGAATCATGCACTTGACCACATTTAGGAATCTATATATGTCTATATGTCTCTATATATGAGTATATGTTTACAAAAGCTTTATGAAAATCTCACTTCCATATTATGCTATTTATCCACTTAAAGTTTTTATTTCAGTAGTTTTTAGGATATTCACAAAATTAGGACTCAAGATATCTTAGAAAATTGTTTTGTAAAAACCAAGAAGTCTTGAAAGGGTTTCCAGATTCCTATAACTGAGAAGTTTAATTTCAGAACACTTTATTTAATCTTTACTTTGAACTTGATTAAAATTAAAGCTGCCTTTGATTAAAACATATAAAAATACTTTTGTTGTTTTTTTACCCCAAAATGGTAAAAACAACACTTTGCCAGTTCTATCAGAACAAATAACTCACCAAAGAATTTAAAGGGAAATCGTCATGCAAAACTCTGTGTTGGAGATAGAGCCTTTAAGTCTAAAAGAGTCTAAACACCAGCCACCTCCGCCTCAATGTGGTCAGAAAAGTTGAAAGGGTGCTAGAATATTCATCTTCAAAGGAGCACACTCTTCTGTCATAGCTCACACGGGAGTGTTTCATGTCAACAAGTTCCTGCAATGCACAATTGCTCAATGTGCAATTCACTACACTTCTCAGGGTCTCAGTTACCTCAAAGGTAAACAAAGAGGCTGGATTGTTTTTTTAATCTGAAATTTGTTCAAATCTAATAATCTTTTTGAATGATTTCTATCAAGTTGAAAACGCACTAAATATTTGGATGCATGCACTAATTATGAATTTTTCTCTAAGATTGCAACAGAGAATATAAGAAGGCATTTGGCAATTTGAAGAGCCCCGGATGGCCAGATAATTACAACAATAACATGGATTGCAACGTTACTCTCACAGCTCCGCAGAACTATACGATTTCCCTCTTTTTTCATTCATTTGGCATCGAGAACTCAAGTGAATGTAGACATGATTTCCTGGAGGTAATGTGTATTTGAATATCATTTAAATGAATTATTTAATAGTCGATGGATCATTTAATATCTCCCACTTTTTTCTCTTGTGCCACTAATCCTATGTGACCTTATTCATTTCATTGATTTATTCACTGTCCTTTCATTCTCTCAACATGTACCAAGCACCAGTCCAGACACTGGAAATACCAATAGGGACAGCCAATTATAAAACAGTGTGGTGAGGACTGAATCCAGCACGGTTAGGGTCCCGTGACTCAGTCTGGGAACAAGCCCTCTTTAAGAGGGTAATATGTGAGTTGGGACCTGGGATCTGGAAGGACCAGAGGGAGGTTCAAGTACAGGATGCTGATTTTGGAGGTGGATGATCGCTCTGACTTGGGGAAATGTGTTTGTTTAAAGATAAAAGTGAAACAGAATGATACTAAATAATTTGTCTACTAAGATTTAGACTTAATGCCAGGCTCCGTGGCTCAGCCTGTAATCCCAGCACTTTGGGAGGTCAAGCACTTTGGGATTGCCTGAGCCCGTGGGTTTGAGACCAGCCTGGGCAACTTGGCAAGACCTCATCTCTACAATAAATAAATAAACAAATTAGCTGGGCGTGGTAGTGTGTGCCTGTAGTTCCAGCTACTTGGAAGGCTGATGGGGAAGGATCACCGGAGCCCAGCAGGTCAACACTGGGGTGGCCATGAGTGTGCCACTGCACTCTATTCCGGGCCAACAGAAGGAGACTCTAACTAAAAAAAAAAAAAGGATTTCGAGTAAGTGTTCTGCCGTTCCTTCACCACCACAACTCAAGAGCTCTAATTTGAACAAAGAACCAGCTTTGTGATTTGCCCATTCTCCTCCCACCCTCAAGACACACTGAGAGAGAAGCCCCCCTTGTACCTGGAGTGGGCAGAGCCATGCCCCTCGTGGGCTTGCCCCTTTGGGGTTCTCCAGTACTCCCAAAATAGCACCTTCTGGGTCCTTTCTGCTCTAGATAACCTGCGTTATCTAGGTAAGAAGGAATATGAACATCACCATTCATAGAAAGGAGATATTCTGATCAAGCCTCCAACTGACGCAGACCCAATGCATGGCACCTGTGTTTTGCCAGAAAAACCTCAGCGCTCACAGGGATGTGTCCTCTGCAAGTTGTTACAAATCTATTCATTCTTCGGAAAGAAACTGAGGTGGTACACAAGACTTAAGAACATACAGATGCTGAATTTCTCTGTGAATGGAATTTAAATCTAAGTCTTACTAAGGCTCTCTAGCTTGGCTTTGTTTCACATACACGAAGGTCTCCGGTAAGGTTTCCAAAAAGTTTGATTGCTTCTGTACTCCAGAAATGGAGTTTTATTTGTTTCCATTTTTTCCTCACTGCCTCTTTGATCAGGTCTTTATTCTAAGTATGCTGTCCAGAATGATTTGACCTTCTGAGTCTAGAGGATTGCTTAAGGCCAGGAGTTCAAGACCAGCCTAGGCAACACAGCAAGACCTTGTCTCTACAAAAAGACCAGAAAACTATCTGGGCATGGTGGCACGCACCTGTAGTCCCAGCTACTAGAGAGGCTGAGGTGGAAGGATTGCTTGAGCCCAGGAGGTCAAGGCTGCGGCCAGCTGCCACTGCACTCCAACCTGGGTGACAGAGTAAAATCAAGAATAAACAGATGTAAGAGTTTCTGCAGCAGGTGTCTTTTCTTCTGTGGCAGGATGCTTTCCTGCCCTTTTTCAGCTGCTAATTTCTTGGTAGCTACAGTCTTTGTTCCCACCAAAGGCTTCTTCTGCTTCTTTTTTGTTTGTTTTGAGTAGGAGTCTTACTCCTTCACCCAGACTGGAATGCAGTGGCACACTCATAGCCACCCCATCATTGACCTGCTGGGCTCTGGAGATCCTTCTGTCTCAGCCTTCCAAGTAGCTGGAACTATAGGCATATGCTACCATGCCTGGCTAATTTTTGATTTATTGTAGAGACGAGGTCTAGCCAAGTTGTCCAGGCTGGTCTCGAACCCGCAGGCTCAGGCAATCCTCTTGCCTTGGCCTCCCAAAGTGCTGGGATTACAGGCTTGAGCCACCATGCCCGGACTTCTTCCGCTTCTTAACACCCACAGCCTTCTTTCTTTTCCCACCTGCAACCCTCTTCTCATCTGATTTGGCTTCCAGGGCTGCTGCTGCCTTGTGTACCCAGTTGGTGATTCTTGACCTGGCAGGAAATGGTGTTCTGGCCTCCTTTGCATATGGATGCCACTTCGACATGATTCCTGATAGTGCAGTTTTATTATCCTGGAAAGCTCTCCCATAGGAAATTAATCTAAATCCTCTACTAATCAACATATGGTACAAAAAATAACACCCAGGAGGAGCTCATGCCTTTTATAAAAAATAATTGCCATGACAGGCTGGACATAGTGGCTCACACCTGTAATCCCAGTACTTTCGGAGACCACTTTCAGTGGCGATGGCTTGAGCCTGGAAGTTTGAGGCCAGCCTAAGCAACACAGCAAGTCCTCATTGCTACAAAAAAATAAAAAATAAAAAGCTAGCTGGGTGTGATGGTGCATGCCTGTAGCCCCAGATACTGAGGAGGCTGAGGCAGAAGTATCACCTGATTCTAGGAGGTCAAGGCGGCAGTGATCATGCCACTGCACTCTACCCTGGGTGACAGAGTGAGACCCTGACTCAAAAACAAAAAAGGAAAAAAGAAATGGAATAACAGAAAATGAAAATGAAAGGAAATGTGTATAACAGGAAGGAAATGAAGAGAAAAACAGTATTGTTTGTGACAGCCAGGTTATTAAACCTGGATCCAAGTTGCTCCCCACCATGGAAATCCAGATACATGGAGTGTAAACCAGAAACTAGAGAGAGGTGGATACATGGAGAAAGGATAGGGTGCAATGACTCTTAACAAATCTCCAGCTGAGAGGGCCGTTATTGAGCAGAGGTAGCATTTGCCATTTGCCTGCTGGATGCTGAGAAGGAAATTCTCCTCCTCACTGACCTTCTTTACGCAATATAATAGACCTGAAACTTCCTGTCCAATAGTAAAGAGAGGAAACCACTGCTCAGGCCTGTAAAGTGTGGCTGCGTCTGGCTTTCGGTGGGAAGGTCCTTGGGTACAGGTTATTGGCAGCTGTGCCAGGAAGCCTCAGCATTCCTTTCATTTAACTGCAATGGGAACGGAAATTCCAGATTGAGGATTCTGATTGCATTACTAACAGGTAAAGGCCAAGGTCTAGACCACACTTGTAATCCTCAGCATTTCAAAAGAGGACCCAGAGGAGCCGTGGGTTGTGGCTTATACCTGTAATCCTAGCACTTTGGGAGGCTGAGGCAGAAGGATCTCTGAACCCAGGAGTCTAGGACCAGCCTGAGCTACATAGTGATACCTCATCTCTACAAAAACAAAAAAATTAGCCGGGTATGGTGGTGCACACCTGTAGTCCCATCTACAGGAAACTGAGATGGGAGGATTGCTTGAGCCCAGGAAGTTGAGACTGGTGAGCTATGCTCGTGCCACTGTACTCCAGCCTGAGCAATAGAGTGAGACCCCAACTCAAAACCCAACCAACCCAAACAAAAAGAAGGCCCAGTGGGGAAAAGACCCAAACTCAAGAGTATGATGGTGGCAGGTCTTAAACATGGCAGCCTTCTGATCTACTGGTAAATAACCAGTTACTCTATCTATGGCAGGGCCATTTTGAACATTTAGCAGAATAATCCCAAAAAGACTTCATTCTCTCCCATTGGCTACAACATAGACCTAGAAGGAAATCTCCCGATCAACACAGTCCAGTAGAACTCTGAACAAACTCTGCGACTTAAAACAACCGGATCCATCACATTTTAAACTATGGCATCATAAAGGAAATGGAGAAACAGCAGAGACTTGGAATACATAGGTCAATAAAGGCAGTGCTTGTTCATGTCGGGCTGCTTCCTGCTACACATTACCTGTGTAACTTTTCCTTAGGAAGTGTCAACAATCCTGCAGGGAGTGTTGCTGGTTGTGAACACACAGGAGGAGCCAGGCTGGCGGACAGGGAGGGGCTGAGGTCTCAGTGTGTGCCCCTTCCCCTGACAGGCGACTCGCTTCCTGTTTTCATGTGTGTCTACTTCAGGCTGTAAGCTGGAACAAAAAAGCGACATGGCTTCAGAATGGGTTTTTAAAATACACTTAAGCCCCAGCCTGCCAGGCCTAGGAGGAAATAAATGTACCCCAGTTAAAAAAAATAAAATAAAATAAAATAAAATAAAATACATTTAACACCAGTCAGAAACTGCACAGATCTACGGAATTGTGTTCTTTTCCCATATAGAAATTCCTTTTTTTCTGAGGTTGATTATACTTTGCACAATGTATTATTTTCGTAGGCCCTTTACAGCCAAGTAATTCTCAATGGGAAATACACACACACACACACACACACACACACACACACTACAATGAATGAAGTATAATTGTTGACGGTAATCAGAGGTGGCAACATTACACCCCATCCCAACCGTCTAAAAATTTACATTTTTCAAAATGTTTCCCTGAAGTTAAGGCTGTAGGATCAGTGTATACAAACAGTGCCCTGGTGTTTTAAGTACTGGAGGTTGACAGATGTTTCTGAATGCAAATGCAAATGGTTTTTGATTTGTAGATGGAACATTTTTCCCCTTTGCAAGTGAAGGTGGCTTCTGTGTGTATTTTCAGAAAACCCTTCTGTTCAGGGAAAAACTTCCTAGAGCTATGTTTTCCCCTCTGCACACACATCAACACAGCAATCATCAATATAGAAGAAGACTTCTGTGACCAAACGTGGGGGTTTTCCCCACATGCCAAGCCTCAGACAGTAGCAGGGTGTCCTCCAATTCAGTTTCGACTCTATCTACCTAAAGTATCAGATTCCCCTGCGCCCTCTAGACATCAGTCGCAAGTCCAGGCCTCTGGAACTCCTGACATACTGCTTTCAAGTTGGGGTTCCCACAATCCCCCACTTTGGGTTTGATTAATTTGCTGGAGTGGCTCACAGAACTCAGGGAAACAAGTTTATTGGTTTAGTATAAAGGATATTACAAGGCATACAGATGAAGAGATACATAGGGTGTGGGTTAGGGGAAGAGGCATGGAGTTTTTATGCCCTCCCAGGGCACCGCCTTCCAGGAACTGGAAACTATCTGGAAACTCCCAACCCCTGTCCTCTTTGGTTTTTATGGAGGCTTCATTATATAGGGCTGATTGACAACCATGTAGAAATGTGATTGGACAAAAAGGGTCCACTCTCATACTAATAGACAGAGTGGGGCCCAATTAGGTCTGTCCAGATTTTTCTTGGCCTCTTCTTTCTCCAGAGTTTGGGGCAGGACCCTTTCTGGAATGAGGGTCTTTTGACCTACAATCATATTAGAGCCCTGCCTTGGACAGGTAAGAGGAGGACAGAAGGTCAGAGGGATTCTGTTTCCTGAGGCCTAAAGTGCCCCAACATTATAACAAAAGACTACAAGTGCTGTGGGAGTTATAAGCCAGGGACCATAGATGGAAACCAACATATGTGTATGTCCTAACACCACATCTTCATTCTTTTTTTTTTTTTTTTTTTTGAGTTGGAGTCTCACTCTGTCACCCAGACTGGAGTGCAGTGGCCGCTCCCGGCCACCGCAGCCTCGACCTGCTGGGCTCTGGTGATCCTTCCGCCTCAGCCTTCCAAGTAGCCAGAATTACAGGCATACGCTACCACGCCCGGCTGATTTTTTGGTTTATTGTAGAGATGAGGTCTCGTTGCCCAGGCGGGTCTCGAACCCACGGGCTCAGGTAATCCACTCACCTCAGCCTCCCAAAGGCGCGGGATTACAGGCTGAGCCACTGAGACCGGCCACACCTTCATTCTTAAGTGTGGAAAAAGACAAAGCTTTTGTGAAAAAGGTTGTCATTCAAATTGTCTCATATTTTAATGTATAGACATGATACATTGGAGAAAAAACACGTAAGTTTAATAATGAATGACTTTCTCTTAAAGGTAAGAAATGGAAGTAGCAGCGATTCACCGTTACTTGGCAAGTACTGTGGAGCTCTGCTACCAAATCCTGTCTTCTCTCAACACAATGAACTGTACCTGCGGTTTCAGAGTGACAGTGCCATCTCCAGTCGTGGATATGAGATCATCTGGACCTCGTCACCCTCTGGTAAAACATTTGCACTTTGTAAGAAAAAGCAACATAGATGAGAAAGACATAAGGGGTTTAATAGAAAAAGATAGTGAAGTGGTCTTATCTTTTTAGCTATCTGTGTACCCGGTCAAGATTACAGAGTTGCCCAAAATGCCCCTCTAGGCTGTAGTGGAAGTGGGACTAAATTCCCAGTCCAGGGACTTTGTAATTATGCCAGATGGTTTCTTCCTATCTAGCCAGATATCTGGATCCCCACAGATAGCTGTCTAAATCATGATAGCTTTTATATACAAATTAACACATTCAACAGACTAACACTGCCTTAGGAAAAACACCCAAGCAGTCTTTTTCTCTCTGCTCTCACACCGCAATCATCAACCTGCCACCAAGCACAGGATACCAGCTGGGTGTCCTCTAATCTAATTTAGACACTTATTTGCCTGAAGACAATGTCAGATCCCAATGAAGATGAGCGCTCAGTCTTCAAGACTCCCTCCCCCCTCCCCCCCACCCCCCACAACCCCTAGTCACCAATCTCAAGTCCTGGACTCCAGAACTTCTGATTGACTGGCTTCAGGTTGGGGTTCCCATGACCCCCCTCTTTTGGTTTGATTAATTTACTGGAGTGGCTCACATAACTCAGGGAAACGTGTTTGCTGGTATTGTTGCAAGGGACACAAATATAGGGAAGGGTGCAAAGCTTCCAAGCCCTCACGGGAACCTCCCTGTGATCAGCTGTCAGGAAGGTCCCGATCTAGTGCTCTGGGGTTTTTAAAGGAAACTTTATGATGTCAGCATTCCCACCCTCAGTGTATAGGGCAGGGCCCTCTATGGGGAGGGTCTTAAGACCCTCATCAGTGGGTAAGGAAGATCAGAGTCCTGCCTGGAGCAGGTGAAAAGGGAGCAGGAGAAGGTGGGAGAGATTCTGATCCTGAAGTCTGCCCCTCAGGCCAAATCCACTGACATTGTAACAAAAGACTGTAACAAGGGTTAGAGAGTTCTGAGCCAGGAGCATGGACAGAAACCGATATCTACAGCATAATACGTCAAACACCAACATTTAAAGTGACTGTAAGTATGTCAGTTATTAGCCTGGTAAGGTCACTTTTACAATAAAGTGCTTCCTGCCACGACCTACATTAACACACTCTCTTCTGGTTCAGCCCTAAATTTTACTTTTAATTTTACCTTAACCATATCATTATCATCAACTCAGGGCATACTGAGCTCTCTACACCATCCCAAGCACACAGACAACAACTTGACTCTATCCTACAGTGACTGTACCAGAGTCTGTGTTTTTCTTTTTTCTTTTTTGGAGGGGAGTCAGGGTCTCACTGTGTCCTGCAGGTTGGAGTGCAGTGGCACAATCACAGCTCACCACAGCCTTGACCTCACCAGCTCAGGTGATTCTTTTGCCTCAGCCTCCCAAGTAGACTGGGACTACATGTCCATACCCCCATGCCCAGTCGGTTTTTTTTTTTTTTTTAAAGAAACAAAGTTTCACTATATTGTTCAGGCTAGTCTTGAACACCTGGACTCGATTATTGATTCTCTAGCCTCAGCCTCCCAAAGTGCTGGGATTACCGGCGTGAAACACCATGCCCAGCCTTTTTTCCACTCTGCTCTCAGTTCACAATTTTCATAGAACAATCCTGAGGGAAATCGTCCCTAGGTCATGATATGTGGGAAAGGAATATGTGTTGGGGACAGGGGAAGGGGGAAGTGACGAGGGGAGGGATATAGCAAAATCTCGGTACTTTAAGAAAATAACCAGTCTTACTGTCTCCCATGTATACTAAAGTCAACAGGATGGTTTATACCTTGTGGAATGAAACTTCCTGTCATAAGGAAGGACACAATTACGACCTTTGCAGCAACTTTGATGGACTAAGAGTCTATAATACTGAGTGATCTATCACAGAAACGAAGAACTGAGTACCACACGTTCTCATTCATAAGCAGACCTTGAACAATTATCACAATGCTATAAGAAAGGGATTGGCAGTTAGTGGGAAACTGCCAGGGAAGAGGGGGTACCTGCATAATGAGCATTTGTATACCTAACCCTGAATTATACCCCACATCTTTAAAATGAAAAATTAAAAAAAAAAAAATTTCCTGCCTTTCTTCCTTGCAGGCTGTGGTGGGACTCTTCATGGGGACAGAGGCACATTCACCAGCCCTGGCTACCCAGGCACGTACCCAAACAACACTCACTGCGAGTGGAACCTCACTGCTTCTGCTGGAAGATTTGTCACCATCAGCTTTTACTTCATCAGCATCGATGACCCAGGAGACTGTGTCCAGAACTATCTCATCCTTTATGATGGCCCCAATGCCAACGCCCCATCCTTGGGCCCATACTGTGGAGCAGTGAGTAAAACAAACATTTTTCGTTTCCCACTTGTTATTCTTAGACAATGAAAGTAACTGAGTATAGACTTTCAAAGGTAGATGCCTGCAAATAACAAAGTGCAAACCTTTTACAGTCTTAGTGTGGATTTTCTGACTTTCCTTTCTATTTTGTGAGCATGAGTGCCATCTGGTGGGCATTGCATTAACTTACTTTTTTATTTTTGACAGGGTCTTACTCTGTCACCCAGGCTGGAGTACAGTGGCGGGATCATAGCTCACTGTTAACTTCGAACCCCTGAGCTCAAGCGACACTCCTGAAATTACTAATAATTGTTGCCAAAGTCAACTCTGCATTAGAATCACCTAGGGAGTGACTTATCATTACAGACTTCCGGTTCTCACCCAAACCTACTAAATCGTAATTTTTCAGGGAGTTGTTTTTAAAAACTCCCTTTGTGATTTCAATAAACCACCCAGTGTTAAATATCCATGTTTACTCCTGCATAAATAGAACTAGAAAATGTGGACACCTGGCTCCATTTCTTCTACTTCTTGCTGAAAATTGTGGGAATTCTTTGAAGGAATGGTGACTGGTATGATTGCTTTTGTAAAGCTCTAACGAAATAGATCTTCCCTAAACATTGACTTTGAATCTGACATTGACTCAGAATTGCAGGCATCTGCGCTTCCTACTCTCTCATTTTATGTGAAAGTAGATACTGTCAGGAACAGAAGTATGGTGGTTGGTGAGAGAGTATTTGTTTCTAATTGTTCTGTTCTTTACTCAAGTTTTCTAACCAAACCGACCAGAGAATTAGATCAGTTGGAAATCCAGAGTTTTAAAAATATAACATTATTTATAAAAATCAATAAATGTTGTTTTTAGAAACATCAGCAAATAGACGAATTTTCCTAACTCTGAGAATTCTCCTATATAGTCTTCCCAACACCTTTCTTTGACTATATTTGCAAATGCATGTATATTTTATACTGTTTGTTTTTTCTACTTACCAATATGTCACAAACATCATATTCTACACTGGTGCATCATATTGAATTGTTGGATGGCATTCCACTGCATGGGTGCAGCCGAATTTATTTCACAAAGCCCCTCTGGGCAAAAGTTTAGGTCTCTCCAAATTTCCACTACTACAGACAACACTCTGATAAGCTTTTTTGGTAGCTTTCTGTTCATACACAGAGTGACATTTTGGGGGAGAAGTGTTGATCACAGGACCAGTAGACGTTGCATCACTGGTATGCATGGGAAACCTGCAGGAAGAGAGACCTGAGAAAACATGCCACACATCAGATTTAGAAGCTGACTAGGTCTAAGGCATTTCATTGAAATTCATAAACATTTCAGAAGGGAGGAAAAGAGATAATTTTAATGATAGCATTACTTTATATTTGTATGGCTTTTATGTGTTTGTGGTTTTCAGTGACTTTCAAATCTACAACTCCATTTGATCCACACAGTGACAATCCTGTGAGGTGGAAAGAAGTATATCCTGGACTTTGCAGACAAAGGCAAACTGAGGCACTGAGAAAAGTGACTGTCATTTAAACCAATGCCACATTAAATGAAGCCTATAACTAGATGCATCAGTTTTTTCGAGCTGTTGATGTTCACAGTATTTTCCCAGTTTTACATTTTCTTTTATGACTATGGATATAATTTAATGGGTAATTTTTTTGTTTCTTAAAGGTACTACTGCTTTCTTTAACATTTCATAAATGTCAAACATAAATGGCCAGGTACCCACACCTGCAGCCCCAGCACTTTGGGATGCTGAGGCGGGAGGATTGCTTAAGCCCAGATGTTTGAGACCAGCCTGGGCAACAAAGTGAGACCCTGTCTCTACAAAAAATAAAAAAATAAAAATAGCCGAGTGTGGTGGTGCATGCCGGAAGCCTCAGCTACTCAATGGGCAGAGGCAGAAAGATCTCCTGAGTCCATTTGGTCAAGGCTGCGGTGAGCTGTGATCGTGCCACTGCACTCCAGCCTGTGTGATAGAGTGAGACTCTAACTTCCCCCCAAAACAAAAACAAAACAAAACATAAATATAAATTACAAAACGCAAAACATAAGTATAAAACATAAAGTTTGTTTACATACTGATTAGTAGCAGAAGTTGCTCCTTATTTTGCTAATAAAAATACAAACCATCCCATGATTTGGAGATATTTTATGTTATGACAAAATAAATGTCAGTGTCCATGGGGTAGTCTTGTATCACAGCCATGGAATCTGGACATCTAGAAAATGAAAGAATAACAGGAAAAACAAGGGGAATCAGAAGAGTTTAAAACTTCTATTATGTCCATACTAGTTTGTCAACATAGAATAAGAAGTCAAAATTTGGGAGCTAATTGAAATGAAAATAAAAAGTGGATGTGCCTGAGAATAAAAAAATTGAATACACCTTGATATATCTCTTAGGAAAAAAATTCTCTCTCCTGTATGTACTTTAATAATCAACTGTCTTGGAAATAAGTCTGTCTTGATGACTCTTGGATAGACTGAGGCGGGAAAGCCTGACGATATAAGCTACCTGTGAGTAGGGCTTCCTTCTGTTTTGTTCACTTTTTAAAAAATATCCCTAGTGCTAAGAACAATACATGCAGCATGGCAGTACCTTGGTAAATGTTTGCCAAATGAATGAATAGAAAATGAGAGAAAACTGAGACTCATCCATTCTCTCCACACATACAAACATACATGGTTTCACAGAAAGATAAGAAAGTAAAATCCAAGAAGGTTTTATCATTTTAGTTAGAAATATGTTCTTTCGGAAAAATTTAATTTTCAGTACAAACTTGAATAAGTTCAAATTTGTTGTTGTTTGAGTTGAGGTCTCTTTCTGCCACCCGACTGGAGTACAGTGGTACAATCATGGCTCGCCCCAGCCTTCAATTCCTGGGCTTAGGCAATCCTACTGCCTCAGCCTCCTGAGTAGCTGGGACTATAAGTGTGCTCCTCCACGTGACTAATTTGTTCACTTCTCGTAGAGGTGAGGTTTCGCCTAGGCTGGCTATTTGTTCACTTCTCGTAGAGGTGAAGTTTCGCCTAGGCTGGTCTTGAACAGTCCTCCCATTGCTCAAGCAGTCCTCCCACCTCAGCCTCCCAAAATGCTGGAATTACAGGCATGAGCTATGGCACTTGGCTTCAGATTTTTTGGGTATCAGTTTTAGTGAGATATAATTCACACACTATCTGATTCACCTGCTTAAAGTGTACAATTCAGTGGGTTTTAGTAGATTCACAGAGTTGTGTACTCATCATCACCACAGTCAATTTTAGGACATTTTCACTACTCCAGGAAGAAGCCCTGCACCCATGAGTAGTCACTCCCCACTTCCCCTCAACTCCCCAAGCCCAGCAATATTACTTTGTAAAGTGTCTGCAGTCATTCTTTACAAGGTTCCTTGTAGAAATACATGCATGTTCACTGTAAATTCTATAAAGCTTCTTCACACAGTACTATTTTACTAGGCTAACATTTCTAGAAAAATGTGCAAATCCGTGAAAATGATAATTTGTTACTTTTTTTTCAATTTTAGGACACTAGCATAGCTCCTTTTGTGGCATCCTCAAATCGGGTCTTCATAAAATTTCACGCTGATTATGCAGCGCGCCCGTCCGCATTCCAGCTAATGTGGACCAGCTGAATGGCTAATGTGCTGCATTCTCTCAGCACTCTGACTCTGCATCACTCTGGACAGGACTCCACCATCTGTATTCATGACCCCTGCCTGCACTACCAAGAAGAAGCTGAACTTTTATGCACCAATGCAAGTATGGAATAAATATGTGTACATAGTTATGAAAGTAGAATATAGCTTCTTTAGTCTTGATTGTGTGTTTCATTCCTCTAATATTTTAAACTGGAATTTAAAAAAGCTTTTAAAGAGTTGGAAATAATTATGGCATATGTGATGTACATATTTAAATAGTTAATGATAATGGAGAAGTATGATTTTCATTGTGAATGTCAAATTAGGGAAAATAAACATTACTGAATTGTACAAAATTATGCTGCATTAATTTTTGACTCATTAAAACTTTGTCTTTCACTGTGGGGTATATATAAATTTTCAGGTTGAATGTTCACATTTTGGTGAAGTGTAATATACAGAGGATGCCCAAACAGTGCACACACATTTTCAGAAAGGCAAAAACTACTGAAATTGTAATACTCAGTAAGATGAATACAAGTCATGTTTGACTTCTGCAGTTATAAGAGGTGCTCAAAGTGGTTACCATCAGCATCCAGACACTTCTGATTATGGCGAGCATTTCTTAAAATCTTTTAAAATGTGTATATGTTTTTTGGCACCCTTGGCATATGAAGTATAATATATATATATTATATATATATATATATATATTGCAGAGTAGCTGGGACTATAGCCGCACACTGCCACACCTGGCTAATTTATTTTTCTTCTTATGGAGATGAAGTCTCACCTAGGCTGGTCTTGAACTCCTGAGCTCAAGCAGTCGTCTCACCGTGACCTCCCAAAATGCTGGGATTACAGGCATGAGCTACCGCACTAGGCCTGTAATCCCACAAACGTGTTTTTGGTAACAGTTTTATTGATATAATAAACACATTATACAATTCACCTGCCTAAAGTATACAATTCAGTGGGTTTTAGTAGATTCAGAGTTGTGTACTCATCATCACTACAGTCAATTTTAGGGCATTTTCATTATCCCCATTCCAGAATATGAACTCGGGAGTCAAGCTGCCTATGTTTGAATTTTAACTCTACTAGTTAAGTGGCTACTTAGTCTCTCTGTGCCTCAGTTTCTATAATGGACTACTTTATCTGTCTCTTAGGGTTGCTATGATTAAACGAGTGTATACCTGTAAAGCCTTCAGAACAATACCTGGTACATATTAAGTAATCAGTAAATGTTAGCTTCTGTGTTTTTGCTGAGTAGCTCAACTCACCTCCCCACCATACCAACATGCCTGCTTTTCCATGCACACTCCTCCAAGGCCAGGCCCAGATCTAACCTATGTTCATCTTATGTCATGTCCCTAAGTCAGTCTGAGATTCTCCCAAGACCTTGCCCTGACTATTGAGAAGTTTGCCGTGACCTCTGAATTCTGTTTCCCTTCCATTTGCCCCAAAGTTCCATTTTTCCTGGCCATACTGAGCCTTTTTTTTTTTTCATTCACTCCCAGGACCCCATGGTCTCCTGGTTCTTGAATCTCTGACATTTTTCACTTTCTTGATGATTTTTCATCCATCGCATGTATCATCAATTCCATAGCATTCTGTCTGCATTCATTACTCCTTTTGCGGGTCGGTTCTCTCTTGATTAGTCCTTCTTTTGCCAGGGTTTGGGTTATTTATTTATTTATTTATTTATTAGTCACGTCTCACTCTGTTGCTCAGGCTGGAATGCAGTGGCATGATCATGGTTCACCGGAGCCTTGACCTTCTGGGCTCAGGCGATCCTTCTGCCTTATTCTCCAAAGTAGCTGGGATTACAGGCATGCCCGGCTAATTTTTCTGATTTTTTTTTTTTTTAGAAACGAGGTCTCATTATGTTGCCCAAATTGGTTTCAAATTCCTGGGCTCAAGCAATCTTCCCACCTCGGCCTCCCAAAGTGCTTGAATGACAGGTGTGAGCCACCACACCTGGCCCAGGGTCCATTCAGTTCTATTCCATATTTCTTGCCTGAGCCTCAGACCCCATCCCAGCTGCCTGCTGTAGAGGACCACGTAAGTGTGCTCACTCTTCTTATTCCACATGACCAAACTCTCTCTCATCTTGTATCTCTCCCCAAGAAAATCAGCTTCTCTTCTGTGTGTGTGTGTGTGTGTGTGTGTAATTGGAGCTGTGATTCTACAGCCCCTTCTAGCTCAGATATTTCTCTTTTCCGTCCCCTAATCCTGTGGGATTGTCAAGGTGTATTACTGTCACGTAGTCCCTCCCTTTCATCATGCTATGAATGTCCTAGGGAAACTTGGGCTCTCCTAACCAATCTCTTCTTCACCTCTCCTCTGTCCTTGAGACTACCAGCAGATTTCTTTTTATGAGGCGTAGCTCTTATTCTTTCCATTTTCTGCCCAAAAGCCTTCAGCAGCTCCCTACAACTTACAGAAAAAAAATTCTAACTTTTTGGCCTTGTGTACAAGGTCTTCTGCATCTATATCTTGGCACACCTTTTTAGCTTTCTTGCTTAATATACCTTCCCATGTACCCTAGAGAAGAGCTGTACAAAACTATTCCATATTCCTGGAATACTCCCTTTTTCTTTCCTTGTGCTAGGTCTTTCCTTTCACACTTGTATATACTAAGGCTGTTTTATCTTTTCCTTTAAATATCTTATCCATTTTTTATGGTTAAGCTGAAAGCTATGACCTGCATGTAGCTTCCCAAATCTTATCATTAGGGATTAATTTCTTCCTTTTTGGTGTTTTCATAGCAATTTTTGTAAGCAACTAAAATATGTTACTTTAAAAAATCATATTTAATTGCATACATTTAGCATCCCCCCATTAAACTATGTGTTCTTTGAAGATACGGTTTCTTGAGTGTCCCCAAAATTGTTAAATATTGAATGGTTTTCCTCTGAGTGATAAACTGTCACTGTGAGCCTGCTGTTACCCCTACTTTTGCCAAATGCAGACAGATCACAGGTGGACATGATTGATTAATTGTGACTGAGAAGATTCTGAAACCACCCAATGACCCTCCGGGGTTACAGACAGATACAACTAAACTGTGCTTTCTGGGAGTCCATGGTGGCCAAAACTGTAGACAGACACCAAGAAAAAGGCCATGACCAGGGTGAGGAAGACACCAGCTCCTAGCAGTAGCCTACAGAGTTCTTGAAGTTCTCAGATATCCATTTATTCTTGAAATAAGCTACTAAACTAAATAAGTATGCTTGCCACTGGTATTTAATACTCTATATATTTTGAGTTTCCCCCCCCCAAACAATCCTCATATTGGTTTTTTCCAAAGATAAATGTAAACCTTAATCTTTCCATCAGAATGCCATTGTTTTTATTTTTAAATTTTCCTCTTTTCTCTTTGACAATGTATAGTATGACTCACATCATTGCAATATTACTGCACAGAATTTTATGGTCTACATATTGCGTTTATTAAAATAATTTCACATGTTTTTGTTATTCTCAATTATACTTTTAAATCATATGTACATCAGTTCTTACACTATGCTTTATTTAACAGCTTCCTCTTATTTGCTTTGTTTCCAATCTACTGTTGTAATGTAACAAGTGAGCATTCAGAGAATATTTTTTCCACAAATTAAATACATTTTTATTTTTAAATAACATAGAGCCACTGGAAGTTGAAAATAGTATGGAGAGATCTTTCAACCAGCTGACCCCAATTTTCCATGATATTTTAAGAATTATTTTCTATAGGCCAGTTTCCAAGAGAGGTGTAAATTCTTTTTACCTTTTGATCTATATTGCTAAATTATTGGCTAACAGGGTCAGAAATTTTACATTTCCATCACCATTCAAAATCCTGCTACTTTTGGAAGTCTTTAGGTGGAAGCTAGAAATCATTTTAATTAGATAGTTCATCTTGGGGAAAATCCCAAAAGTGTGTTCCAAATTTGACAAAACTGCTAGAAATAAATTAAAACTGCCATTTAAAATAATTTATATTGAGGAGAAATTCTGTCAGCTTAATGTATTTAGAAAAGCAAGTTCTAAAATAAATGATATTTTAAGGAAAGTCATGTTCCAGACCTGATACATAATTCTGCATATTTCAACTCAGATTAAACAAAGAATACAGAGCATTTACTACAGATACTTGTGTTCATTATCAAGTATAAAGAATAAACAGGTCCACAGAAGGAAGAATTACATATAATAAGCTATCCCTCAATAGAATAAGAGTAGCGTTTCTGATACCCTGAGTCATAGGGTATGTTGAAATTACTCGTATGAATATGACAAATCTGAGTATATGTATTTTACTCTCAAGAGCACAGAGTTTCCATGAATACCACCATTATATATTTCTAGCTTAATAGCACAATATGTGAAGTTACAAATAATTAAACAGTCTGGATTGTTATTTAACAAGAAGTAGAATATTAAACAGCATATTGTTACCTCCTATGTTTCTATACACCTAAATAAATGAGGTGGTTATTAGCTTCCTTTTCTTAGAAAACCAATACTTTTATAAAGTTTTTCACACCTCTAACAAAGCAGAAGACTTTACAAAGGAGATTTGCATTATGTTAAATATGAAAGGTTAAGTTGTATTAAGGGCAGGAGAAAAAGAAAATGAAAGAAGCTGTGGAATGTATTATTTCATCTTCCTCTAATACTCAAATACCAGAGAAATTATTTCTGAACAGACCATGGAGCTACATAAATAAAATATTCTCAAGTTAAAAATCCCTACTTCTTTTAACTACATATTATGGATAGCTATATCAACTTTACGGATGACATTCTATTGGAAATAATGATGAAAGCAATGAATAACACCAACAAATTCAAAGGGCTTTGACAAGTTGGAACAATGGACCAACTGTAACAAGATGAAATATAATAGGGATAGATGGAAAATCTTGATCTTCTGTCTCAAAATGAATTGCAAAGGTACAGAATACAGATAAAGCTTAATAATAACATGAAATGACATAGGTATT